GAGTCCAAACAGCTGATAAAAACATCACAATAATCCACAAGTAATCCACAGCACTCCAGTCCATCAGTTCACATCTGGAGATGACAAAAGCTGAAACAAATCCAGCATTAAGAGGTTTTAACTTGAAACCATCAATTCAGGCTAAAATTTTAGTCCATAATCCATAATAACGCTCCCTCCAGTGAAAAAGGGTTCTGGTCTGAATCAGGAGAGAAATCTGCACAGATCAAGCACCGTTTACAAGCCAAAACAGCTCTAAACAAATATGTGACTGGATTTTGATGTGAGACACAACAGGAGATGGACTTTTTCACTGCGTTATTATGGATTATGGACTCGTATTTTAGCCGAAAGCAACAGTTTGAAGTTAAAAACGTCTTATTGATGGATTTGTTTCAGCTTTTTGCTTCATAAGACATTAACTGATGGACTGGAGTGGATTACTTGTGGATTATTGTGATGTTTTTATCAGCTGTTTGGACTCTCATTCTGACGGCACCCATTCACTGCAGAGCATCCATTGCTGAGACACTGATGCAATGCTGCATTTCTACAAACCTGATGAAGAAACAAACTCTTCCTAATCTTGAATGGCCTGAGTTCTATATTATCAGCAGAATTATTTGAGTGAAAATATTGCCTGTTGCTTGTTTTTGACTTTTCTTGTTGCTTGTGCTTTCCCAGTCCTTCAAGCGAAGATATTTTCAGTTGACTCAGCTAACTGACAACTCTTATATCATGAACTTCTATAAAGATGAGAAGATATCAAAGGAACCTAAAGGCTGTATTTTTCTGGACTCGTGTACCGGGGTGGTTCAGGTCGGTAAATATATGTTTTTAAAGCGGTTCAGCAAACATTAACAATGAGATGACCGATGACTGAGATTTATTATGGTTTCTGGGTCCAATTGGGTTTCATACAGAATAACCGCCTGAGGAAACACGCCTTTGAGTTGAAAATGAACGAAGTGACATATTTTGTCCTGGCTGCTGAGAACGAGCAAGACATGGATGATTGGATCAACACTCTCACACGCATCCTGCAGATCAGCCCTCCAGACGGCCCGGCTCTGGATCGCAAGAGCGCGGACCTGAGCGACAGCAAACACGGTGGGTGCTTGGAAAGTACGAAACGCTGAAGTACAGAAGGAATGCTGTACGTTATTTCGTGTGTGTGTTGTATGTCATTTTAAATCAGTCAAATCATTGTATTGTCCCTCCTGAGTGAAAGTCTAGGGAAAACAAGCGGTGCAATAAATGCATTGCAGGATCAGTGCGATAATAATTTCCGCACAGAGTCTGTTTTTGCTGTGCTGCATGCACTGAATTAAAGCGATAGTGCATTGTTCATGGTCAAAACGAACATGGATTGAAGTGATAATGTAGTAATTTTACCATAAATGCATGTAGTTTTTCACGGTCATCTTATTACTTTAAGCACCATGATAAAGCAAAGAAAACTGAAACACTTACAAGGAATTGCAAAGATAACTCATGCGGTCAAAATTATGTTTATAGTAATTGTTTTATGTGAAATACATCACACAGGATGTGGATATTGTGTGAGGGAGAGGCTGACACCTGCATCTATGCAAAAAGTGACAATTATTTTACAGGCTGGTGGTCTTTCTTTTTTATTTAACATTCACAGGGCATACATACAACACAAATATATATATATATATATATATATATATATATATAAAATGTGAATCAGATTGATGCAAAGCAATAAAATGAATACACAACCAAAATGCAAAACACATTTAGTACCTAAATAATAATAATAATAATAATAAATATATATATATATATAAACCGAAAAAAACAAATAAATAAAAAGTTAACATAAACCTCTTTAAAAAAAATCACTCAAATGAATAATTACACAAAAATTTCAACTTCAAAGAAAAATTAGGAGGTTACCTTTACATCGAAGTCATTATTTTTTTCATCAATACAGTTGTTTTAGCAGCTTTCTTATTGAGGGATGAGCAGAGAGATTCTTAAAATAG